TCAACTATTTTTGTTTCTACTGCTTTCTTTGTGGATTTAATAGTCGTGTGATTTTTTTAAAATTTAACTTTAAGTGGTATATAGACACTTCCCTATAGAAAGCTAAAAAAACTACCCATTTGATTGTGTCCAAACTAGTTTCTAAAGGCTATTTTTCAAGTTTCACTGTTTTTTAGTCTTTAGAAGTCTTCTTTAGAAATTTAATCTCTTTAAATACTCCATTTTCTTTTCTTGTTTTTTCTTTTTTTTAAGACTTCATTTCATTTTTACAGAGAGGAAGACGAAGATCTTCATCTGATGATTCACTCACTCCCCAAGTGGCCGCAATGGCTGGAACTGCGCAATGCAAAGCTAGGAGCCCGGAGCTTCCTCTGGGTCTCCCACGCGGATGCAAGGTCCCAAGGTTTTGGCTGTCCTCGACTGCTTTCCCAGGCCATATGCAGGGAGCTGGGAAAGCAGAGCTGCCGGGATTAGAACTGGCACCCATATGGGATGCTGGGGCATGCAAGGCAAGGACTTTAGCCATTAGGCTACCACACCAGGCCCTAAACTCTCCATTTTAGGTGATACAAATTAACTTCCTAACAAAAAGGAGAATATGCACACTTCTCTCTGTGGCTCAGTTTGTAGCCTTACTCCTAACACAAATGCCTTGAGTTTTCTGATCTTCATAACCTTATTATAACTCTGGAAACAGCTGGAACAGTCTCACCAGCATCCTCATTGTTCCCTAGAGATCTCATTGTTCTGATTACAAGCCAAGAAAGGATATATGATATCACGCCCTTTCCTTTAGATGGCAGCATTTAGGATTCCTGACTGAGCTGCTTTGGATTTTGAGTTGATATTATAATGGAATGAGGTGTGGAACATGTCAATTTTCAAGTGGATGCATGTGTGCTTCGGGGGACTACAGCATGCATCGTGGTAAGCCAAACAATACCCTTCACTAAGCAGTTCACATTCAACTTCCTGGAACAGAACATATGACTAGATTACCTTACATGATAACAGAAACTGTAGAGCTATGAAAAAGGTAAAGGGTCTGATAGATCAGCTTAGATTGCACAGGTGTACCTAAACTAATCTTATAATTTCTAAGAATTGGAGGAAGTACGCAAAATAATAAAGAACTGACCTACGCTTGTTGGCACTGAAGATGTTGACAAACTAAAAACTAAAATAAATCTATTTTGGGCCCGGTGCGGTGGTGCAAGTGGTTAAGGTCCTCACCTTGCAAGCCCGGGATCCCATGTGGGCGCCGGTTCTGTCCCGGCAGCCCCGCTTCCCTTCCAGCTCCCTGCCTGTGGCCCGGGAAAGCAGTCGAGGACGGCCCAGAACTTTGGGACCCTGTACCCGCGTGGGAGACCCAGAAGAGGCTCCTGGCTTCGGATTGGCATAGTATCGGCCCGTTGCGCTCACTTGGGGAGTGAATCATCGGATGGAAGATCTTCCTCTCTGTCTCTCCTCTCTGTATATCCGCCTTTCCAATAAAAAAAAATAAATAAACAAATAAATAAAATAAAATAAATCTATTTTAAAAAAAGGCCTGGAGCAGTGGCCTAGTGGCTAACGTCCCAACCTTGAATGCACCGGGACCCCATATGGGCGCCAGTTCTAATCCTGGCAGCCCCACTTACCATCCAGCTCCCTTCTTGTGACCTGGGAAAGCAGTTGAGGACAGCCAAAACCTTGGGTCCTTGTACCAGGGTGGGAAACCCGGAAGAGCTCCAGGCTTCCAGCTTTGGATCGGTACAGTTGCAGCCATTGCGGCCACTTGGGAAGTAAATCATCAGATGGAAGATCTTCCTCTTTCTCTCATCTCTGTATATCTGACTTTGCAATAAAACTAAATAAATCTTAAAAAAAAAAAAAAGATGTGGGCAAACGGTCTTCTGATTAAGTAATACTGGCGGCCTCCCTAGGACGGGCTCTGCCTTTGCAATCAGAAAGAAAATGAAGGCCTTACTTATACAATCACACTGAAATGGCTTCTGCCAACAACTTAATGAGTAGAGGATAGATACCAAACTGCTGACCTGACCTAAAGAACTATAAACTGATACATTTATTTTGGCTTCAATTATCACACTTGTGATCATTTGCTAAGGCAGCAATAGAAAGCTAATATAACCTGTTAGTTCAATCTTCCTTCCTCATCTAGTGAGGATAACATTGATCCCCACACACTTCTCAAACAAATGAGAAGGCAAGGATAGGAGACAGGACAAAAGGTGCAAGTGACCAAACCTGCTGATGTGGCTTCCATCTCTAATCCTGCCTCACAGACTCCCACTCCATGCTTTGTGACCCAGCGGTTTCTAACCCACGAGATGGTCTTATCCTTCCATGGTTCCATGGTCTTGATAACCCAGCTGTCTGTCTCTGGAACACCTTCAGCCCACGTCTGTATATTACTCCATTCACCTCTAAGCTTTTCCCTTCAAAACTCTTTAAAACACTGCTCAGACTTATTTGCCATCACCAAACTGTCTCTCAAGATAAAATTATACAGTCATTCTTCAGGTGTATTTCTGCCTAGTTACATTAAAGTATATTTGTGTGTTCACCGTCTATTTTTTTTCTGACTGCTATCAGTGGCCTGTGGCTATGTTTAGCACAGTCCAACAGATGTTTTCTAAAATTATTATTGTACCAGGTAATAGTAGTAAATTTAACAGGTAATCAAAAATATAGGATTTAGGCAAAAAGAGAAGGAGGCACTGGAACAAAAGTAGAGAATTTTAACTGCTGGACCTGCTTTTCAGACAATGCTCCAGGAAAGCTTATCTTACAATACTATTCTCAGGTGGGTGCCAGACCTCCACAAAGAAGGAACAGTTGTGTAAGAAACCAATTTGAACCATATTTTCATAACCCAGGATGAACTTTTGTCATTATAGAGCTACATTCTCCATGCAGGGGACAAGCTGGCTGTTACTTTCTAGAATATAGCCGATGCAAATGCATACTACGGACATGTATGAACAAGAAGGACCTTTCTCTTCCTTTGTTGCCACATCTGGATATTCCGCCAATCCTTGTTATCAAAACACTGACCAAGGGCTTTTCAGAAAAGTTCACCAGGGAACTGCACCTTCCTACTCTTTCCTTTACTTTCCGCAAGGAATAAAGCCTTCTGTGGAGTAACCATCACTTAGGGCTAACTCCTGACACTTTGAGAAATGCAAAAATCACACATTATTCACAAGAATTTTACTGAATAGTTCTTACAAAAATGAAGGCTTTCATATTTAACATGTTATCTTTAAAACACACATAAAATATCACAAAGAAATTCTGTTAGCCATAATTCCATTTCAATAATCAATATGTACATAATTTTTTTAAGTTCATGGAATAATGGAATTAAGATAGACTTATTCTGGTGCCAAAATGTTTGAAAGTCATGTTGTTTGTTTGTTTGTTTGCTTGCTTTGGTTTTTTCATCCACTTTTCTGCAAACTTTCCCAAATATCCTTGAATAGTTCCAAATCAGCTAGAAAGCAAATAACAGCTTATTCCCATTGCACTTTGATCTGTAGTCAACAGAAATCATAGCTGTCTAAAATGAAAAAAAGTACATTCAGTCCCCAGAATCTTTGGGCTTGGAAACCTCAACAGCAGTAACAAAAAGGCCACACAGAAAACGATTAAATATTACTAATAACGGTGAAATGAGAAACTGGGTCCACTAGAGAGCGGGAATCTGAACATCATTTCACGAGTGCCAGAAATGGCCATCAGTAGTCATTAAACTTGTCCACAAAGGCAATGGTGGACACTTTAAAAACCCCATTTATGTTTGAAGAACTCACTCCTCTGGCTATACACAGTGTCCCTACTCTTTGAGAGGATTCAACGAACAGCCCTGATCCTCCTCATGGACCCCAAAACAAATGCTAAGGATTTGAGGCGGGCATGGAACTTTCAGATTCATTCTCGTCGAGCTAGGCTGCAGTTGGGGAGCTTTCGAGGAACTCCCACCAGAGAGTAGACCCCAAGGCAAAGAATCGGGGCCTGAGCTGGCTTACCGACGCGCCCACGCCTTAGGGTTCTCACAGCCTCCCTCACTGCGAACGGCTCACAGAGCGGGTCGGAACTACAAAACCCAGAATGCCAAGCGAAGGACGGGGCTAAAGATGTGTGTAGTTACACCTCAGGTCGGTTCGCGGAGCTCCAGATTTGATTTTCAACGCGTTCTCCGGGTGGCGCTCCTCCTCCTCAGCATGAATGGTTTGGCAGTCCCTGCGTAGGCAGGCGGCTCAGTCGTCATCGGCAGCTCTTGAATGGCGATTCTCCGCCCCGCGACTTTATGGGAGATGAAGTTCAAGGCCTTGCGGGCGCTGTAGCTTCCCTGCCAGAGTCGGACTAAGAGGACTACACTTCCCAGAGGCCTCCGAGGACTGCCGGTCGGTGAGGGGGCGGTGCCTCACGTCTGGTACAGTCATCCCAAGCCTCTGGTGGGACTGTAATGGCCGGAGAGATGACGATTTTAGGTCAGTATCTGGAAGGTGTTTGTGGACGTTACGGACATGGAGACGGTCTGGGGAGAGAAGGACGGACAGGAGTGGCTGTCTTACCTCCTGGCACTAGCTGGCGCAGCGGGAGGGAAGCCGGGAAGGTGGTTTAGAGATGTTTTTTCGGGATTTGAAGGGACGCGGGTGGCCCGGGCCAGGGTAGGATGCTGTGGGTCCAGCTTCGTGCGGCGCACTAGGAACACATTCATTCCCACAGCACTGAGTCTTGATTGGCCGGCTGAATTGGGTCTTTGGCAGGCCGCGACAAGATGCATCACAGAACCCCTTTGAGGAGGAAGCAGGGAAAGGGGGAGCAGCGTTAGGCTCCTGAGCTGGACACCCTAGGACCACTGAGTTGAAGAGGGTCAGGCCTGCTTGATGTGGGATCCACAGCTCTTCTCGCCAGATCCTTTTGGGAATTCGCTTCCCCTGTTAAGAAGGTGATGGGGTACTTCTGAAATGTTGCCATTAGCAAAGAAGGAGGGTGGGGCTGGAGATGTGTGAGGAGAATGAGCTCCTCCAAATGGACATTTGGGGTCGTAGGAACCTGTGTGGACACAGGTGCCTAGCACAGCCTCCTGAACTTTCATCGGAAGGAGTTCTGGATCCCCGGTGGCCTGTCTCCACAGCCTGCCTGGCCTTGGTTCCCACTCCGTGATTTCCTGAATTCAGATTGGTCGAGTATCTGTTGTTCCTGAAGTGGAGGATGCAAGCTTGAGCAAAAGCTGGCTCAGGTGTTTCCATTAACGTTTATGTCTCCGCCCCTATTAATAATATCCTATTTAATACTGATATCTTTACTTCAGTACATAAAATGCTGTGTTCCGTTGAGCAATGACAGTTTAATATACCTAAGCAAAGTAAATGTATCTAATTTATCCATGTGACCTCTTTTTTTTAAGAAAAAAAAATGATGGATCGTTCTATTTGATTTTACAATAACAAAACTTGTGCTGTGAGAATTTTAATGGGCTGCCTTTCCTGTGATAACTAAAGCTATTTATAAGAAGTAAAAATCTAAATGTCATTTCTTCAAGTAAATTGTATTATCTCTATCATTTACTCCAGAAGAATTGTATTTTCCAGGAGCATCAGCAGGATTTTTGAACATGTGGTTTATTCACCTATTAGTGAATATACATCTAGTTACCTGAGTGGCTTAGTTTTGCTATTTCTTCATTGATAACACTATTACAGCCAGTTAGTGCTTCGAAATACTTCATGTCTGAGACAGGTGCTATTAGTTCCACAAAAGAAAATATCTTGTGATTTGTAATTTTAGTTGTATTCCCAAACAAAGTGGAACGAATGAAGCCTTGCTGTAGTATTTGGACATATTGTACTAATTTGCAAAGGAAAAATGTCTTCTCATTTGCCTGTGTTTCAGGATCAGCTGTTTTGACTCTGCTGTTGGCTGGCTATTTGGCACAACAGTATTTACCACTGCCTACTCCTAAAGTGATTGGCATCGACCTTGGCACCACCTATTGCTCTGTTGGGGTGTTTTTTCCTGGCACAGGAACAGTCAAGGTGATTCCAGATGAGAATGGGCACCTGAGCATCCCCAGCATGGTGTCCTTCACTGACAGTGACGTGTATGTGGGCTATGAAAGCCTCGAGTTGGCAGATTCAAATCCTCAGAACACAATCTATGATGCCAAAAGGTTCATAGGCAAGGTGTTTACACCAGAAGAGCTGGAGGCTGAAGTTGGCAGATACCCATTTAAGGTCAGTGATTAAATCTTAAAATCTACGTCGATTTTAGTTTCATGTACCACCATCTCAATAGTTTGGCTTCATGTTACAGAATGTTGTATTTCAACTGGCTTCATCTCTAAGGAAATCATGTTTTTCCACAGAAGAAATTTCATCATACTTCTGAGGGGACTGAGGTCGGTTAAGGACTATACTAGTATGGATTGTGCTAATGCAATGTAATACCTAAAGTAAGTCACTTACAAGGGCCACATTATTTGTGTCCTCTGGTGAGTCCAGCTCATGGTCAAGGCAGAATCCCAGGAAGCAGAGAGAGAGAGAAAGAATGAACAGACCCAGTCTAGGCTTCTCTAACCAGCTCTGTTCAGGTGAACCACGTTCCATGGGCTCTCCCTCTGTAATCTCATGCCCCCTCATCAGGCCTACCTCCTGTTTAAGACCACAATATGTGATGTTCGGATTTAAATGTGTTCAGGAACCAAATCCTATTGAAACCTTAGCACTTTTAATGCTACCACTGGCTTAGGCCTTGCCCTATGCACTCACAATTTCTTGTTAGCTTTCTCAAGGAGGCAGCAAGGTTGATGAAAGTTCATGTACTATCCATAAATGTGTGTATGGATAAACGAAGAGATCATAGTGGGCCCTGTGTGATAGCCAAATAGCTGAAGTCCTTACCTTGCATGCGTAGGGATCCCATATGGGTGCCGGTTCGTGTCCCAGCAGCCCCGCTTCCCATCCAGCTCCTTCTCCTTGCTTGTGACCTGGGAAAGCAGTCGAGGACAGCCCAAAGCCTTGGGACCCTGCACCCTTATGAGAGACCCCCAGAAGAAGCTCCTGGCTTCTGGCTTTGGATAAGCTCAGCTCTGACCATTGCAACCACCTGGGGATTGAATCAGTGGATGGAAGATCTTCCTCACTGTTTCTCTACCTCTGTATATCTGACTTTATAATCAAAAAATAAATAAATCTTTCAAAAAAAGAAGAAGAAAAGAGATCATACTAGGTATTCTGTGTCCTGGCCTGTTTCAAATTCAGCTATGTGACATTGATGACTAGTCAAGAGGGTCACAGTAGTTGGTAGTTGAGTGGAATGACTGTTCCGTTATTTACTGAACCGCTGTCTCCTCATGTACATTTTGTTTTTTTTGCCTGGTTTTGCACTAATATTGCCGTTTTATTGAAAGTCCTTGTATGTGTATCTTTGTATACTTCTTTGGGTATTTCCTAACTTGAACTCTGGATGTAGGTTCAATTATCCACATGCTTTCCAGGGCTTTGTCAAGCGCATTAGCAGGGAAATAGATCAGAAGTGGACCAACTAAGTTTGAAGCAACACTCATATGGGATGTTGGCATTGAGGGTGCCAGCTTATGTTGAGGTACCATGATATTAACACCAAACTATAGTTTTTGGTATTTGCCAGTCAGTAAAAATTGTGTCATATTAATTTTTAATTCTTTGATTTCTAATGTGGCCACATTTTAGTTTTTTTCTTTAATATTTTAAAATTGATGATATGTAACGTCTTAAATTTTATGTAGCAAAATCATCTCTTAATAGTTATTTTTAAAAATGCTTTTAGGTTCTTACTATACTTATTATGCCTGTTTCCATTCTAGCTTTTTTGTTAATGGTTTAATATGAATTTGTTTGTTTGTGTTTCACTCCTTTTTTTCTCCTAAAGCATTTAAATATTTATCCCATGTAAAATTTTTTTGGAAGTTATGAAGTGGGATTCTCAATGCATTAGTTTTAAAATACATATGCCAATGCTGCTAATTGAGCACTCCTATTCACGGAAATTCTTATTTTTTATCCATTTTTAGAGAGCTACAAATTATTTTCTGAATTTTTAAAGTGTATAACTTTGTTCCTTTTTAGTCCCTTTTGGACTTCATAATCATTTTATAGATTTTGTATAGTAATAATAATACCACCTATAATTGTACACTTCCTTTAATTTATGTAACTATATTTCTTATTGACCACAAGGTATTTTTGGTAATTGTTGTGAAACTTGCAAGTGACCTGACTTTAAATTCTTCCTGTTACATGTGGGCTTTGGTGGTACTGATATTGTGTTCCTCAATAGTACGTGATAGCTTTCCATATTTTATTGATTGATTTATGTATTGGAAAGACTGACACGTAAACAGAGATCTTCCATTTGCTGGTTCTCTCTCAAATAGATGCAGTTGTCAGCGCTAAGCAAACTTGCACCAAGTACCAGAAGTTCTACCTGGGTCTTCCATTTGGGTGTCAAGAACATGTCTTTTGCTTCTGAGACACAGTGGCAGGGAGCTAAATTGGAACCCAAAAGTCAGGTCTTTAGTGGACACTACTATAGGCGATGTCCAGTCCCAGGCAGTAACTTAATTCAGTGCCCCAGTGCCTGCCCTTAATTTTATTTTCCTGGAGGATTGTTAGTTACTGTTAGAAAGGTCAAATTTTCCTGGCTGAGACCTTAATGTAATCTCTGGAGTGACTGGGGAAATGGGGATAAGTTCTTACAATTTCTTAAGCAATTTAGTTCTGTTCAGTATTAATCTTTTTAAAAATCAATTGATATAACCAATGTGAGGGGCTTTGTTTGTTTTTTATGGGGTTTTTTTTTTTTTTTGGTTCATTTTTTAAAGATTTCTATTTGAAAGGCAGATTTACAGAGAGAAGGAAAGATTGAAAGATCTTCCATCCATTGGTTCGCTTCCAAAATGCCTGTAATGGCCAATTCGAATGCAGGAACTTTTCTGGGTCTCCTATGTGGATGCAGGGTCCCAAGGCTTTGGCCCATGCTCTGCTGCTTTCCCAGGCCACAAGCAGAAAGCTGGATGGGAAGTGGAACAGCCAGGACAGGAACCTGCATGCATTCGGGATCCCAACACTTAAGGAGGATCAGTCAGTTGAGCCATTGTGCTAGGCCCTAGGGCGGTATGTTTAGGATTGATTTATTTTTGCAAATATACCCTCATTAACTGTGATAATGATACATAGCATGCTGTCATGGGAATAAGAATATGAATTGTACATGATCTTAACAAATGGATTAAAATTATTCTTGTTAGTGTATACTGGAGAATTCTTTTAGATATCTGTTACTTTTGAATCAAGTTAATTGAAAAAAGAAGTTGATCTTGAAGGATTAAACAGCTATACTTGTATTTTGTAATTCATTACTTTATTAAATGTTGATATTGTCTATGTTATAGTTGCTTAATATTGAATTTTATTCTGTTAATGAAAATGTATGGATTCATTCTGTAGCTTTAAAGTATTAAGTTTAGTAGGCAAATATATTGGTAAATATATTGGATTGTAGATGGACTTTATGATATTTAAAATGTAAAGGTAAGCTTTAATTGTATAAAGCTTATGTATATGTGTGTAAGTATAAATGTGTGTATATACACATTTCTTCCTCTTTTCTTCCCCCTTTTTTTTTTACAAATCCTGTTCACAGGTCTTAAACAAAAATGGGATGATTGAATTTTCAGTAACCAGTAATGAGACCATCAGTGTTACCCCTGAATATGTTGGCTCTCGCCTGTTGTTGAAATTAAAGAAAATGGCTGAAGAATATCTTGGAATGCCGGTTGCCAATGCAGTCATTTCTGTACCAGCAGAATTTGATCTAAAACAGAGAAACTCTACCATTGAAGCTGCTAACCTTGCAGGTAACCATATGCATGCCTATGCTGTAATTTTTTTCAAAATTGTGTTATATAAGGGTTTTTTTTGGTTTTTTTGTTTTTTGTTTTTTGTATTTGTATCTATTTAAGAAGCAGAAGAAAGAGCTCTTCTCTGTGCTAATTCACTGTCAAAATGCCCATAGTAACCAAGCCCGGTCCTAACTGAAGCTAGGTACCCTCGGCTCCAGCGGGGTCTCCCACGTGGGTGCCAGGGGTCCAAACACTTGAGTCTTCCTCTGCTTCCTACCACGTGCAGTGGGCTGTCTGACATGGGGCATGAGGATCCCAAGCAGCAATGCCCACCCTGGCTTCTGTCTTTATTTTTTGGTATTTTTAAAGATGTATTTTTATTTGAAAGATACATTTATAGAGAGCAGGAGTTCACTCCTCAAATGGCCACAGTGGCTGTAGCTGAGCTGACCTGAAGCCAGGAGCTAGGAGCTTCTGGGTCTCCCACCTGGGTGCAGGAGTCCAAGAACTTGAGTAATCTTCTATTTTCTGATGTGATAAGTTGGGAGCTGGATTGAAAGTGGAGGAGCCAGGACTCAAATGTGTGCCAATGTGGGATACTAACATAGCAGGCAGAGGATTAGTGTGCTGTGTCACCGTACCACCCCCATAGTTTCTCTCTTTGTAACTCACCAAATTATTGGCTTATAAACAAAGATAGTAGATAAATTGGATCTTGATAGAAATATGTATGGTAATTATGAAAGCTCCATGATACAATACAAAGTTTATGTTTTATAACATGAAACCTCAGATAGCCCATGAGAAAGATGAATACAACATAGGAATGAATTAGCAATGTGCAGTTCTTTTTCCCTAAACTTTAGTGTTAAAGTAGGTGTAACTTTTTTTATGCCAACAGGATCCCTGATGCAAAATTCCAAATTATTTCCCAGACTTTAAAGAGAAATTTTGTTCAAGGACATTTGACGTTGAACTAGCTAAGAACTTGAGCAGTCCTCTGCTATCTTCCTGTATTATAAGCGGGGAACTGGATTGGAGGGGGAGGAGCTGGGACTTTTTCTCTTATCTACGACAATTAGTTTTAGTTTGTAATCTTGAAAATGTTATCAGTCATATACTCCTGTTTAACACGTAAATACTAGAAAAAGCAATTTCTCTTAAAGTGAAATATTAATCAAGAATAAAATGACTTATTCCATTCAATGTGGAGTTTCTTATGTGCAATTGTTTTGAATAATTTTAATGGCATCATTTAGAAGAGCTGGTCTCTGTCCTTCCTGTAAGATTTGTATTGGTTTGTGACTGCTCTCATTGTTATGTAGTGAAAGTTCATGTTACAGAAGACCAAGGCATGATATGCAGTTAAACGGGAAGCAGTTCTGAATAGTATCACCTCATGGGCTATTCTTGCTTCCAACTTTTACAGGGCTGAAGATCTTGAGGGTCATCAATGAGCCTACAGCGGCAGCCATGGCCTATGGCCTCCATAAGGTGGAGGTCTTCCATGTCTTAGTGATAGACTTGGGTGGAGGGACTCTGGATGTGTCATTGCTGAATAAACAAGGAGGCATGTTTCTCACCCGAGCGATGTCAGGTAAGAAAACTATGGAGTTAAGTTCAGCCAATAATACTTTCCTTAGCATTTCTAATATGTAGTATGTTGCTTTTTTCCTTTTTCAGACTTTTTTGAATTCATTGTGATTTTCTGTTTCTGTAATTTTACCATTTGTGTATGTTTATAGTGAAATCTCAAAAAATTGCCTGTGATCCTCTAACCACAGACACTGCCAGTTATAATTCAGTTCAGTGAGCCAGTAGAATTTTTTTTTTTTAGGTTTGTCTATTTATTTATTATTTGGAAAGCAGAGAGAGTCAGAAAAAGGTCTTCTGTATTCTGATTCACTTCCCAAACACTTGCTACATCCTGGTCTAGCCTGGGACAAAGGTAGGAATCAGGGGTTCCATATGGGTCTGCCACCTGGCAGGCAGGAACTTTCCAAGTACTAGGGCCACACTTTCTGCCTTGCAGTGTCATGAACAAAGCGCTGCATCCCAAGAAAGCTTGCCCTCATTGTCATAATACCCTTCCTGCAATATGAATTTTCATGTTGATGGTGAGAACAGAGAGAAGAAAATGCTCTTAAAGTGGGAGATAATTCATTTATTTCACTTAGGAATATTTTTATAATATAGATATCTTTAGAAAATGTGATTTTTGATGTTCTGTAAGAAACGATAAACTTCATTCTCAGTTTTTTACAAAGATATATTTATTTTTATTGGAAAGACAAATCTACCAAAAGAAGGAAAATGAAAGATCTTCCTTCCTCTGACTCACTCCCCAAATGGCTGCATCAGCCAGTGCTGAGCTGATCCGAAGCCAGGAGCCTCCTCTGGGTCTCCCTCACAGGTACAGCATCCCAACGCACTGGGCCATCTTCCCCTACTTTCCCAGGCTGCTGATACACACTCTAGGGATCTGCAGATAGTAACTTGAATGCTTGAGCCTTTACAACACATTTGGGAAGCTTAGATTGAGTTCTCAGCCCCTCGCTTCAGTAGGGCCCACTCCTGGCTGATACAGCGTTTGGGAACTGAACTCACAGACAAAGAACTGTTTCTGTAACTATATCCTTTGGGATAAAATAAATAAAATTTTAAAAACACAAAAATAAAAAATTAACATAGGAATCTGATAGCAATGAGGCACAGGCATCTTAACTGATAGCCTTATCACAACGTTACGCACCTGCTCTTTTCAAGATTTTTTTGTTGCACATGATTTAAGTGAATCAACTAAGGCATTGAAGGGTTGAGCTGTGAGTTGCAAAGTTGAGCTTTTGTGTGTTCCTTTCTCTTTATTGGATTTGTTTGCACTAAGTCAGTGCAGGAGAATAATTTCCTTTGAAATTATTTTCTGCTTCTCAGCTCTTAATGAGAAAACAAGTAAAAGAATTAAAAAAAAAAAGAAAAATCCAACAGCTATCTTTGAATTATAAAAAGCCCTGTCTTCTGTTGAGGATAATGTCTTTTAGTGTTTTAAATAGTTTTGTAAACTTAATCTGTGTTCTCAGTCTGTTTTCTGAAAAATTATTTAATTAAGAAATACTTTGACATTATTTAAAAGTTGTCTAACCTTGATGTTTCTAACTAATATAAATTAGGGTTAAAACCATTTTAATTCAGTTATTTCTTAATCTTTCTTTGTGTTAATAAAATCTTAATAATATATTCAGAAGGAGTTTTTTTCTCCCAGAATGTAGGTTGTATACTTCTACACACATGTAGGCACAATTGCATAATATTAACTCTTCTGTGTTTTTACTTAGGAAACAATAAACTTGGAGGACAGGACTTCAATCAGAGATTGCTTCAGTACTTATATACACAGATCTATCAAAAGTTTGGTTTCTACCCTTCTAAGAAAGAGGAAATCCACCGATTAAGACAAGCTGTGGAAACAGTCAAATTAAATCTGACGCTTCATCAGTCTGCTCAGATATCAGTGTTACTGACAGTGGAGGAACAGGACAGTAACAATCCCCAGACGCCTGAGACTGAAGCACTGCGGGACAGGGGCTCCCCAGCAGGGGGACAGCAGCTCAACAGTGTGCCTGGACCCGGCCTTTCTGAAAAGGACAGTGGCAAAAGACAGGTTTTGTTTGAAGCAGAAATATCACGGAAGCTCTTTGATAGCCTTAATGAAGATCTCTTCCAGAAAATCCTTGTGCCCATTCAGCAGGTATTGAAAGAAGGACACCTGGAAAAGACTGAGATCGATGAGGTGGTTTTAGTTGGGGGTTCTACTCGTATTCCACGGATCCGCCAAGTCATTCAAGAGTTCTTTGGAAAGGATCCCAACACGTCTGTAGACCCTGACCTGGCAGTGGTGACCGGGGTGGCTATCCAAGCAGGCATTGACGGAGGCTCTTGGCCTCTGCAAGTCAGTGCGTTAGAAATCCCCAATAAGCATTTACAAAAAACCAATTTCAACTGAGTTGTGGAAAACGTGATTGTTGTCGGATAACCTCTTCCCCTTTATCAGGCCACGCCTCCAAAAGAGAAAGTCATCTGTTTCCTCTCACAGATTGACCTAGAAAGGTGCATCTCAACAGAGAAAAGCTTCATGTAACATTTTATTGTAGGATTAGATGTGACCAGATTGATACTATTTGATTTTGGAGAGCTCCCATTACATCAGAGAATTCTAAAATGAGAACTGAGATAAAACCCTCGTAGGGGAGGAGTATGGTTGGTGACTATATTTTCCGGGTTCATGAATTGACAACCATATGCACTTAACATTATATTCTGTAAATGTTATGTAGTGCCAATTAAAATAAGATTCCCAGCTCTTACTTGATTGTATTAGTAGGAGCTGGTAATTTCTTTACTTGGTTATTACATCTATCTTACTTTGAAATATACTTGAAGGACAGTGTTGACGTCAGGTATTTATCTAGGACATAGCAGTATTATCAAGATAAACTGCAAACATCACCTTCAGTAATTGCCATGTTATATTTCAGTGGCTTTCATAACTGTGGTCTCATTATGTGTCATATTTTCATAATCTGCACACTCCACCGTTTTAAAATATATCTTAACAGATTGGTTTGTTTTCTAAGATGGCTTTAGGTTTATTCAGGTATTTCTATTCCATAAATACCCAATTTATTTTCTGGTACCTTCACCAACTGTATGTCACTCTGCTTGAATTTCATGATTCTGTGTGATATTGGAAAACAATAGGAACTTATTAATTGCGTTTTAGGATTAACATTTTAAAACATGTTCATGTTACAATAAAGCCATCATTACTATCTCACTTTTGTTACCTGCCATCTTTGCAGATATTGGTAAATAGCATTAATTACTCATGTTTTAGGTTTCATGTATATTTTCAAAAGCCCTAAGGAATACATTATTTGAGTGATCAAATAATATTTCTTCAAATTTCGTGAACATATTCTCCCATTATTTTTAATGACCAAATGCACCCAATTGTATTAGTCTGGTTATTATTTTTCATTGTTATTTGTACTTTTTTTTTTTAATTGGTCACTAGAAACCAGAAGATGGTTGAGTAAGGAGAGAGAATATTTGTGAATGCTGAAGTAAGGTGGAAACCTAACCTGGAAGACAACAGGGAAAAATTGCCACAAATCAACATTTGTGGCATTTCTAGCTTTTGCCTTTTGTTTCCTTTAGAAAAATCACAGGGACCAAGAAAGAAAATTTAGCAGTTTTATTTTAGAGGAATGTCCATATTATTTACAACTACTACACAGTTTTTTTTCAATGTAACAAAACATTTTAGCTAACTATTGTTAGTATTTTAGAAAATTATTATTTTTAGCAATCAGATTGCTGTTAAAACAATTTCAAATTGTTTTGTGCACAATGTAGTATGTGGATAAAAAAACAAAATATTGCTGTTTTATTTTAGGTTAATGAAAAAAATGCCAAAGATGAGTCCTTGATTGCAATATGAGAATTTTGTTCTCTTAGACTTCATATACTTCTTTGATAGATTTTAAGATTGAAACATTCTTTTTAAGAAGCTCTTAAAGCAAAAGTGTTCAGTTTATCTCAAAATCTTATGGTATCAGCTTTAAAGCATTTCAAAGCTTAAATAAGAATCTTGAATTTCTTAATATTTGATATGGTTCAAGACAATCTATTAAATATTAATGCTTTTTGAAGAAAGCAGTACACAACACAGGACAGCTGATCTCAAATTTAAATTGGAAGTTAAATAATTTGAAAAATAGAACGGCAGTGTTGGAACTGGAGGCTAGTAGTTTCTCATAGTGTCTAGTGTAGTTACAACCGTTTTGTTTTTAAATGAAGGAATATTCAGTTATTTTAGAGGGCTATATGTAAATAGTCTTGACATTAGTGTAGTTTATTTATTTAAAAAGTAGAATGCATCCTGAAAGGGATCATTTACACATAACAATCTCAAGTCATGTTTTGTGGAACAGACTTAAAGACTTTAGTTGTACAAATAAGTAGGTTTGTGGGGTTTTCTTTTTTTTTTTCTTGAGGTACAGTACTTTTTAAAGTATTGTCTAAGTATTGTCTTGTATGATTAGAATATGTGAATTGAGTAATTTATTTTGCATCAGGACTGTTTTGGTACTGTGTGTCACTCACCACTGACTTGTCAACAGATACTACTGTGTGTAATGTACTGAAAATTAGTTACTGTGCATAACAGATTGTGCCTCTGAAATTTGTGCATATACAGGTAATTCATATTTTACTGTAAATAAAGACCATTTTGCATTTTGTTTTTTAAACTGTACCTTTTTCATTCCCAATGAAAATGAAAAACAGGTTTGAGGTATATAGATAAAAAGTGGGGCTAGAGATTATGTGATGCCCACAGTGTGCAGTCCTGGTGGCATAGACTCCAAGTATGTCTGTTGCCTGCATCCTGCACTTGACCTTAGCCAAAAGGCCAAGAAGTGATGTCCCCTGTGTCCTGACAGACTGCTGCTGTGCTTGAATCGCTTCCCCGACTTAGAGACTCTTCCTTCATCAGAAATTTTGAATAACCAGTACATGCTTTCTGACAACAATATAGCTTAAAATTAAAGTAATCTATACATAGTAAATACTATTACATAACACTAATCCTTTGATGGTCAGTGCTTTGTGCTTTTCTAGTAGTAACAGTGATAGTAGTAATGAGCATTAAAAGCAATAGACCTGATGTCTCCAGTACTGGTTTACTGTAGTTTCTTCTTAGTGATTTGGAGTATCTTGGCTGGCAGAGCTAGATTTATGAAGAAATACAATGAAGCTTCATATTCTATTTAATAAACAAATATACAGTGTCATTGAAAGCATAGCTCCTAATGATACCCATCTCCTACTGCTCACCTCACTGGGGAATCCTTTGCCCTTGAATCTGGGTAAAATGTAATGATCCGGCTAATGGACAGAAACAAGTGGTCCAGTTAAACATTCCAAAATGCAACTGTTGCACTCTGAAATTTTAAGCACACTATCGATCAGCTAGATACTCCCATTTCTGTGACAGTGTGAGATTATTCATTTTCATTAAATTTTGGATCCGTTTGATGCATTTCAATAAATAATAGAGCTTACTGTGGTCTAGGTACTGCCCTAAATGTCTTCTTATTATTCACCTGTTTAACTGAGTTCTCTGGACCAACATGAATAGTCAGTGTTATCCCCATTTCTGGAAAAGAAAATTAACTTGCCAGTGTATTAGGTGTAGGTAATCTTCCCGGGAAACAGAATTCTAACATAATCCATGCCTTTAAATCCTGTACTGTGCTATCCGTGATGCAGTACAACATGTTAGAACCATTATTAATAAATATTTGCAAGACGTCAGGTAATATAAAAATAATGCAGCTATTTAAAAAAAATTTTTTTAAGAATTTTGTATTCATCTGCTGATTCGTTTGCCAAATGTCCTCAATAGCCAATGTTGTGCTAGTCTGAAGCCAGGAGCCTGGAGCTTTATCTGGGTTCTCACAGCAATTAGGCCATCATCTTCACATGCCATCCCAAGGACATAGTGGGGGAACTGGGTCAGAAATGGTAGCAGCCAGGACCCACAGTGCCCCAATCCTTTTTATTGTTGAAAGGAAGCTTAGAATTTACTCATTTCTTAAGTATAAGATGAAGTTAATACCAATTATATGTGTATTATATATGTCACATAAAACTACAAATATGAAATGGAGTAAAAATAAGGAAATAAACAAGTTTAGGGACCTCCCAATTTTATGGAGATTTAATTATGTAATCAAGAGTATAACTTTTAAAAATATGTATATGTATTTTGAAGGTGAATTTTACAGAGAGAAGAGACAGGTCTAACATCTGTTGGTTCACTCCCCGGGTGGCCACCACAACCAGAGCTGAGCTGATCTGACGCTGGGAGCCAGAAACTTTTCTGACCCAAGCCATGCTCCATTAGTTGGATCTGAAGTAGAACATCCAGGATGTGACCTGGCGCCCATATGGGATCCCAGCTCTGACAGATCAGGATTAACCCAATACACCACAGCACCAACCTCAATAGCATAATCTTAAGGGTCTAAAATTTGGAAGTTAGAGATTTCCTGATGAAATATGAAGAAAAAAAATCCTTGCTAAAACTGTTATAGTTTTGCAAAATTAAAATATTTACATCAATAATTATTTTGGATATTATAGCAGGAATAAATGGTGGCTTGTTTTATACCTCCATTTTTTTTAGTTACTTTGCATGCCTAAAAAAAAAAACCCTGAAATATTTCAAATTTGATAAAATTTATAATATATATTTTTAAAATTTTATTTATTTTTATTGGAAAGGCAGATATACAGATAGGAGGAAGGACAGAGAGGGAGATCTTCATCCAACGATTCACTACCCAAGTGGCTGCCATTGCCGGAGCTGTTCCAATCCGATGCCAGGAGCCAGGAGCTTCTAGGTCTCCCACGCGGGTGCAGGGTCCCAAAGCTTTGGGCTGTCCTCAACTGCTTTCCCAGGCCACCAGCAGGGAGCTGGATGGGAAGTGGGGATTAGAAGCGGTGCCAATATGGGATCCTAGGTATGCAAGGCAAGGACTTTGGCTGCTAGGCCACCACTCCAGGCCCAACTTAATATTAAAAAAAACAAAAACAAAAACAAAAACCTTACTGTATACAGTCATCCTTCAGTATCCAGAAGGTGGACCTGGTTCAGGAACCTGTCATCCACCCCGAGGTGGGTGATAAATAACTGATCTCATTTAAAATGGTACAGTATTTGCATATAACCTGTATCTGCTTACATAATTTAAACCATCTGCAGACACAATATGTAACACAATATAAATGCCCTGCAAAAGAGAATGAGTACAAGCAAAAGAGTAATGTATATTTTTCTGAATATTTTGAATCCAAAATTTGCTGAATCCACAGATGTGCATCTTTTGGATAAAGAACTGATTCTATGAATGGTCATCAAAAGGTTTGTGAGAAATACTTACTGAATTCACCGAAATAAACGATTTCACTTTCCGTGAACTTCCTGAAGTCCCCTCATAGGAACACATACATAAATTTCTCTCATTAGGGGTTCATCCCTTCATCTTAAATTTTCTAACATGGCCTATTGGAAACTGGAAGCCTGGTCTCCAATGGAAGTTGCAATCACTATTCTTCCAAGTTAATTAAGACAGTTTGACAATGTTGACAAATGCTGTAAGTGTGTATAGGAGACCCTGCTAAATGGTATCCCAGCACTTCCAGAACAGTTTTATCTGAAAAACCATATCCTCCATTTCAAAACTTGTATTTTCAAACCTCACTTGAAACTAATGGTGCCATATGACATTTAAATTCTGACTAATGGGACAGAAGAATAATTGCTAGGTGATTTAAAAAAAATGATACAGATTTGTTTTATGAATGTCCTTTTCTTAAATAAAAATATACAGCCTCTGTGTATAATATAGTCAATTAGATTATCTTAGATTATCCTGCAGTTTATTGGTACTATACTTCAATGACTGAGCAAGCTTAACGTACATAGTTCAACTGAGAATAAAATACTAGCTTCTTAGGAAGCAGTAAGTTTTTTTTAAAATGTAGTTGTGACTGTTGCTTCTCAAATTTCTAATCTTCTTGTTTGAGAGACAGAGACAGAGAGACAAGGCTCCCATCTGCTGGTTCACTGCCTAGTGGCAGCAATGGCTGAGGCTAGGAGTCAGAACTGTCCACTACTCCTAGTAGAATGAACAAGAACCAAATTACTATTGGAACAGTGGTCCACATTAGCAGGCAACTGGAACCAGGAGAGAGCAGGGAGCTACATCCAGGCACCTCAGGTTGGGATACAGGTTCTTAATAGGCAGATGTTCATCACTGACTATTAGTCATTTTTTTTACACATAAAATTTTGATTTTCCTTTTACCCATGACTATTTTGTATAAAAATATGCAATTATAAGGATAATTTATATGCATTTGTTTACACAGAAAACTACTTATCCTATATATGAAGCTGTATGACTTTTCATGGGCTCTACTGATACATACAGTCACATTTCATATAAAGAAGCAGTGACCCTAGAAGCCCACCTTGTGTTTAGCATCATGCCTCCTCATCAAGGAAAACCAGTAGATGTACTTTTGAAAGCTGAAATAAGCTTTTCCTTTTTTTGTTTAATTTTTATACAAAAAGAAACATGGAGCCATGCTATAATAACCCTTTGTCACAAGTTCCTATCACTCCATATTGTGTGAGATGCAGCATGTGGTCTGCAACTTTTATGCATTCTTTTTTGAAGATTTATTATTTTTATTGAAAGGCAGAGTCACAGAGAAGGAGAGACAGAGAGGTAGGTCTTTCATCTTCTGGTCTATTCCGCAAATGCTGGTAGGAGCCAGTGAAGCCAGCAGCATCACATAGGTGCAGGTGTCCAAGCACTTGGGCCATCTTCCACTCTTTTCCTAGACACATTAGTGGGGAAAATCTGAAATGAAGCAGCCTGAGTTTCAAACAGCACCCAAATAGGATGCTGCATCTCAGGTGAAAGCTTAATGTGCCATAACACGGCCCGGGCCCTGCATTGGTTTTCATAGTTGCACAATGTTCCATTGTGTGAAAATCATCACTATTTTTATTTTTCCAACAAATAAAGAACTCTGTGCTGAACATGTAAATGATAATTTTTTCAACCATTATTCTGTAATGAACACAACAACTGCAAACATAGCAACTGAACAAGACATGAGTTAAAGTAATGTGGGAAGACTCCAGCAGTTTGTACAAGGTACTTGAGCATCTGTGGCTGTGGATATCCTCAAGGCTCCTGGATCCAAACCCTGTAGATTCTGAGGGACAGCTGTATGAAGATGTATGGCTAAGATAATTTTTCACAAACCCCTGTAGGCAGTTAGTAAGGTTACACAGAAAGTAGAAAGGGAAGATAAAGGAAATGATCGATGGGCTCTAACAATCATCTTAAAATATTTTATTAAAATTATTTTACAATGAGTATATCTTTGAAGCCTGAACACTTCAAATTTCAAGGCTGTTTGTAAACATAATATTGCTTTTATTATTTAAAACTATAATATGAAAAAGCCTTTCCAAATAAATTACTACAAAAAATCAACAATGTTTTCATAAAGATATGCAATCTAACATATATCTCACTAAGATCCGGCCAACAATCAATGTTGCATAGACAATACTGTAGTTTTTTTTTTTAAATCACAAAGGCAAATGTGAAAAATATTGTAAACCATTATTTTAAAATAAAACAGACCTTACTATAAAGATTCC